AATAAGCCATTTCATCTGAATCCCATTAAGGACCAGCAGAGTGTGCCAATATGCCCTCCCCAAGCCATGGGAGTGACGCTGATAAGCGAGCCACTCAGAAAAACACATTAGCACAATTGCCTCTGCTTACAACCCACTTTGTGCCTTATCTGTTTCATCAGCGAGAAGGAGGAGGAGCTGAGTGACTGACAAATCCCTGTGCGTATGTGTGTTTGGAAGGTGTGATGAAAAAAGGCATGAATGACAAATAAAACCCTGAGCAATTTCTTTAAAGGGGAGAAAAACGAACTCAGAGCCTCTTGTGATTAGAAAATAAAAGAGCAGTTGGTTATGAATGGAGGATTTATCATCATTAAATAAGTTAGATTTTAAATAAGTGCTGCATTACGTTTATTGATGTTGAGTCGGTGCAAAACTCTGCCCAGCTGAATTGGGTCACCCTGCATTAGGCGAGTGACACGGTGAAAGGTTTTCTTCTGCCGGGGACATTTTGGATGTTTAATATCATTCCAGTCAGAACACCATGCGATTCAAAACTTTTGTTCTCTTAACAGGTTTCCTTGTTTTTTTATTATTATTATTATTATTACACTTGAATGCTTCAGATCATCAAACATTGAAGAATAATCTGAGTAATTTAAAAATGTAATTTATAAATTACCTCGTTTATTAAGTTGAACCAACTCTACCGTCTAAATCGGGTGTGTCAAACTCAGCTTGTTTTTAAGCAGAAGGTTTTTAAAGGGCCAAAATGTGTTTATAAAACCTACTAAACAGTTACAATATCAATAAACATCTGTTTGTTTCATTAATGAAAGAAACAAAATTTATTAAAATTAAATAATATTGAACATCTTTTCACACTCATTAGCACATCCAGGTTTTTGTTAATGTTTTTATGGGGTTTTTTTGCATTCAAATTTAAAAATATGTGTAAGAATTTTTTTTATTTGAGCTAGCGTACGCTGTTAAACTTGACTTTTTAATTAATTGCCGTACTATAACTTTAGGTCAGGTAAGGCTGAGGCAGCAGGCACTTAAAACCAATGTTTAGGTGACAATAATCGAGCCGCTGCACATCAGCTCGGCGTGAACGAGTCCATGGTCCGGCGATGGAGACGCAGGGCTGCATCCACAACAGCAGATTTAGTAAGGCCTTGTGGAAAACCGAGAGCGGTGGAGATACCATTGCACAGAACGGCTTATAAATGTACGTTTCTAGTTTTTTTAAAAAAAACCTTTGTGAGTGCAGCTCTGTCGTTTGGAAAATTCTCAAGTTCTCAGGTTTCTTTAGATTCTGGTCTTATTGTCCTTTGTGTTGTCAGATTGGGTCTGTTTGTGATTTCTGGATTACACAATCCATAGCAGTAATCACAAAGTTTTTGTGGCCTTAAAAATGAGGATTTAATTAACCAAAGTTTTTGACAGCAGAGTTCAATTTCAAAATGTTGGGGGGAGGATAACTATTTCACATGAGGCCAGATGAATAGTTTTTCTCCATTAATAAATAAAATCATCATTTGAAAACAACTTTCTATATTTTTATGTTTATTAAAATATATTCTTCTATGTGAAACAAAAAATAAAATGAAAAATAGAACACTATGAAGAGGCAAATGCTGTAAATATATTTTGTTGAAAGTTTTTAATTTCAGTTCAACATTTCTTCTTCTCAGTGATCTGAATCTGAACAATCCTGAATCCTTTTAGGGCATTTCAGCCACAACAAACAAGTTTAGGGGAATAATTTGTATCTTTTGAAGTGTTGCAAACACCATCCATCATTTCTTCATGTCCAGCCACTAACACACCATGAGACGAGTAATGACGAAACCTCTTGGTGGGATAATGGATTTATGCCCCATGTGATGTTTCCTTTAATGGCCACACCGATTAGTTCTAATGTCACCTGATTACAGCACCTTTTTGTCTGTCTTAAAAAGTCATTAGTAAAATCCAAAAATCTTTTTTCGTTTGTTGCCTAAAGCCGAAGCACAAAGTTTGTTGAGGTCTTTAGACAGACGCATCTGGTAAGTTTTTTTTTTTTTTATTTCTCACAAACTTATGCTAAAATTGGGTTATTATTTCCACTCACAGAAGTCAATAATAACAAAATAAAGCAAAATTTAGTTTAAATTTCCAAAAATTTAATGTAAATTTTGACATTTCCATCACCTGGAGTCCATCTATTCTAAATTAAGTAACATTATTCATTCAGTAGGGAACAGACTTGTCAATATAACAAGGAAATTAAATTTGTTGACTCAACAAATTTAATTTTTGAAAGTCATAACGAAACCTTTCCAGGCAGTAGTGAACACACTGAAAACTTGACTGCACACAGTAATCAGTAAAGAACGGCCTTGGGAAAGGAGGCAACCAAAAACTCAACACTCATACAGGTGGAGCTACAAAGACAGAAGAATCATTTAGAAGGTGAATCACTAGCACTTTCCACCAAACAGAGTTTTTTTTATTTTTATTGTAGAATAACCATATGGTCATGGATCTTCTTGACTTGAACGCCAAGCCAATATTTGGTAAAAATCAGACACTGCTCATCACCCGGCTCTTACCTACCCAGGGCTGCTGGGCAACAATTCAAGTAAAAAGAATCAGTGAAACAAAAAGTGATTTCTTAAGGATACCTGTTCTGGAGCGCTTTGTACCTCTGACCAGATTCCAACTTGACAAAGCAAAAGATTTTAATCCAAAGCTGTAGACACTCGTGCATGCAACAGGTTGTTTTTGTTGTATCAGAAAGCTCAATATAAATGCTGCAAAAAGCTTGAAGCCAAGTTGTTTATTCAACAACTACTTGAGGAAAGGATTAACAGAAATGCCAGGACACCTGAACATTTTCTTCAGCACACTGAACTGAAAAAGAGAGAAGAAAGCATCATGAAAAAAAGGTCAAGACTTTATACAGTTTGACTCCCAATGGGATTAAGGCAGGAAGAACGAATAATGGCAGGATTTTTGCTACGCCACTAGAGACAATTGGGCTTAAAATATGAACAGACAAAAGGCTACATGTTAAATGTCATGCTAACATGCATTCTGTAGTTGAGCTTATTTCAAGCAAGTCTCCAGGCGTGACTTATCTGCCTATTCTACCCGCCCTTCTGTAACTCTGGCATTTCTCTCAATTCCTGTAAAGCTGCAATATCCACCTTCTCACCTGCTTTTCTTTTTCTCTTCCATATCAGCTCTATAGTGCTTAAACTGTTCCAGGCTTTACCATAACTATTTATTTTCTTGAACATGCCCCTCATGCCACAGACTCGAATCTGGAAATTTTGAATTAGGGATGTAAATTCTTTAGAATGCATTTATTACAAGTACCATCTCAAAAAACTATCAAAAAGTTTCATCACAATGATGATACATTGCCTGGTATGAGATTCCTATAGGATAGTTACTGAATGAAATGGTCTTCCACTTGGCAACAAGTTATTTATCCCCAACTGATGCACTTCTCATTTCTTAAACAGCAACAACCTTGTTGTGGAAAAGATGTTAGTTTTTTTTTAAGAGGAGTCAAATTATTGGCATGGAAAGCAGAGAAAATGTATATGGAGACTGAAGAAAGTACTAAAATTGGGTTGAAAACTGCCCAAAATTGTTTTTTTAATCTGAAGCATAGTGGTGAACCATCATCTATGTGTTTACGGAAAAAAAACTGGATGACCATGATCACCACTTCAATGTTTGCAACTTTTTCTTTGGAGATGAGGCCACTTCAAATGAAACTAAACTATAGTGGGAAGCTGCTCTGTGGTGTGACAAAGAAAATCAAAACTTCAAACTTTTTGGGAAATCACAGATGTGGGAAAAACATGGACGTCCTCTAGGCGAAAGACGAGGGAGACCATCTGGCATGAAGTCAACAGTAAGAATCAGCGATGGAGCAAAAGTGTACAAGGTTTGCAAAGCTTTTACTTCAGTGAAGCTGCCACTAATGTTGAAATATTTACAGGTTTGAAAGCAACATATGCTGCAAGGTATGTAATGTATTTTCTTTTTTTTTCTCTCCAGATATCCTGAATGACAATACCAGGCAACATTTAACACATTTTACAACTGGAAAAATCCAGCAGTCACTGAAAACATTTTGTGCACTATAAAATAAAACGTCCAGATGAGGTAGCCTAGAGCTCTTCAGTTTTCACACAAAATATAAAATAAAATTGGGGGAAAAATTGCAGCAATCTCGGTTACAAATGGATCTGGAATGCATACTTACCAAAAAACAGCATGTAAGTGTCAGTATTTCATATGTTGTGTTTGTCATTTCAAACATAGGTACTGCAAATCGAATGTTTCTTATTTTGTTGATGTGTTTCATATTATCCAATTTTATTTTTGAAACGAGGTAATAAAAAGCTTAAGCTGTGCAGTAAAATTGGTAAACTCTTCTGGATTTCATCTTAAGGGGAATCATTTAAAAAATTGCAAGAACTTGTAAAAACGCTATAATAAGTGAAGTTCCTGTTTGATGTGCATTGTTGTGTGAAGCTGATTGAAAATACTTTCAATGGTAGTTTATATCCTTCTGTCTAGTGCAAGTCAGCTCATACCAAATGCAAAACAACTGCTGAAAATAAATTTTAGAAATTCATCCAATACCAAAGAAATAAACCGAAGAGAAACTGCATAAATATTAAACACGGGATGTAATGTCAAAGAGACAGAGACACAAAGCGATTTCCAACAAAGGCTGAAGATGGTTGACGTGGTAAATTATTAGCTTCTGCCGACACACTGTGATATAGCCTCATCTAAGGTACTCGAGTTACAAACAATAGAGCAGCCACAGTTCCTCTGATCCCAGGAGGGCTGAGTTTGGATCTGAAAACACAAAATGGGTTTTTGATATGGTAATATTCTGTCGACAGCAGGATGTCAGCCACATGCAGAACAGCCAGGGACTTGGGCAAACAGAAAAGACACGAACAACCGATACATGTGTGTCACTGCCCAGGCATAGCGGGCCTTACCAGTATTGTTGTGATCGTAAGAGTTGTGTTGAAGAGTGTGTCTGTCACGTTGATTGATGGAAGAGTTCTCTCCATGGACAGTCCATCTTCAGAGTGCCACAGGCCGATCTACAAACCAACACACACACACACACAAACGCACGCATACAAACAAAGAATCAGTCACCAAGTCCATCATCTGGGAAAGGCCAACAGAAACAATCTGTGCTTAATTTTCTCCCGTCTCACTATCAGAGAATCGGGGTGACCTTCAGATAAGGCGGGAGATCTCTGCGGTGTGAGGCGAGGCGTCGGGGAAACTCGGAAAGAAATGCCGGAGGAAATAAAAATAACGTGCTTGGCTCCTGGAGTCATGTGCACAGGGCATGTGTTCAATCAGAGGCAACAGAATGCATTCATTAAAGCAATTACCCGCAAATCCTGCAGTGCAACGCCAGACTCACAGCACAGCTCAAGTGGAACTTAACACCTCTACCTCACAGAGCGTCTTAACTCGCATCCCGGCTCTATCTGTCATTCATTTATGCAACTCAGGCTTATAAATCCAACACACTTTAGGCCATGCTGCTTTTATGTGTGTATATATATATATATATATATATATATATATATATATATATATATATATATATATATATATATATAAAAGATTTATTTAGTTAGATTTTACTTGATCTTTTCAAAGGTTTTAATTTTAAGAATAATTTTCCACACAAATCTGTTACCGATGTATTGATAGATAGATAGATGTCATTTCTGTACATGGTTTGTTTCCAACTATGCTGGATGCTTATGTAAAGTAGGGTGATTTAAAATTCACTTTTAAGTTTTGCAATAATTCATGCAATGAAGTGTTAAGGTTCTGTAAGCATTACATACCATAATTATTTATGCAGCTGATGCAGAAGTTCAGTATCTGTTGCTCGCACAGAAACTTTCATTTGAGTTGGCAAAATAGATACTCAAAGACAAACAAAAGATCAACAAAGCATTTAAACGTAATTTTTTGTCTTTTGGTTTTGTGGAATAGTTTTATCTCCAGTCAAAATTTAAAATGTAAAGACTATTTTCAAACTTTGTGAAATGCAATACTCCTCACTCTGCGAGCACAAAGATAACTGTGGAAGTTATTGCCATAAAAAATGCAACACTTTCAAGACATAACAAATCATATTGTCTGTAATCTTCCAACAATTTGAAAAAATAATCACTTTTCTCTCTGCTTTTTATAGTTAAAAAGAAAACATTTATTGTAATAATCAACGCTAGAAGTTTATGAATAAGTGAAGATAATGGACATAAAATATGTCATCTAATTTAGACTTGAAGACGGTTTCAGTTACTCTGACTGCTTCCCCTTTTATAGGCTTAGAAAGTTTCAGTGTCTGGAGTCGGGACAGAGAGGCTGTTAAACCACCAATGATTGAAGTGTTATTAAAAAAACATGGTCATGGTTTGTTTCACGGCTAAACTGCTGAAAGTGCCAAGAGACTTCGGCCCATTCATGTTGATCCGCGTTGGATTTGGACGCCATTTAACCACTTTTCCAAAACTGATGACGAATTTTGATGTGAGCGATATCAAAAGGAGAAGAGGGGGGGAAAAAAAGCAGAGACAGCTCCCAGAATCAAAGATTTCCTTTGAGAGAGCATGATCAAAAAGATCCTGCCTTCCATTTCCTGTGGTGCACCCATTGGGAGGGAAAAAGACAGCACCTTGCTCACACAAACAGACTACACTGCTCCTCAAACACTTTGCACACCCTGCCACTGATTGCCTCAAGAGGCAAAGAGAAAGAAGGACAGAGAAAGAGAGGGAGAGGGAAGGAGAGAGAAAATTTGAGCATATACCGCAGTATGGTCAAAAAAGCCGGCAGTGAAATATGCCGTTCCACAATCAGTGTACACAATCAGCTGCCAGAGCTTGCGGAGGTGGCGGGAGGTGGGGAGTCTTTAGCTTGGCTTGGCACAGCAGGTGACATGAAAGTCTGATCATGAGGGTGACTGAGAGGCTAATGGGATGAGGAGGCACCTCGACTCCAGCCAGAGACGAGTGGGTGGAGAGTCAGAGCGATGAGGGAGAGAGAGCTGACCCCATGGTAGCCTGCTTGTCACCCTTGTTCGAGATGCACATTAATAAGAGATCTAATGTTCTTCAGAGGCTTCAGCGAACAGAAGTTATTTCCCTAAGACTGAAAACTTTTCATACTTTAACCATTACTTGAATCAAAGCATCATGCAAAAGCAGTGGTTCATATTCTGAAAAAAACTTTTTACCTTTTGACTCATCAAGACCTCAAATTTAAAGAGGTGGAACAGCGTAAAATTTTAATTCAAGATTTAGTTTAATATTTAGATTCAGCTTTATTTGTGTCCCCACAAGACAATTACATATTACAGCAAAAGAAGACGTGAAAAATAAGAGACATACAATTAAAAGTCAAAAATGATAGGAAAACACAGAGTGCTGAAAGAACATGAGCAGCAGCCTGGTCAAGGAAGAGAAAATGCTAACAGCATGTATTCAAAGGTTCTCCTGTTATTACAGCTGCAAATCTATCAGCTTTTCACATCTCAAGACTAAATTTGTTCCTCCATTTTTTCTTTTGCAAGACAGCAGAACATCAGTCCAGTTGGATGAAAAACATCTATGCACAACACATTTTATGTTGTGCCACAAATTATTGCTTTGGGTTGAAGTCTGGACTTTGACTGGGCTGATCTAATGAACAATGAAGCTTTCATTTGGCCATTTGTCGTAGCTCCCACAAAATTTCCTCTACTCTTCCGACACCATGATAATCTATAGCCGTGTCTTCAGGTGGATGAAAGGCACTAATTGGGATACAGAATATTTTTCAAGTCAGTGGAAACAAGGAATCAAAGTTTGTTTTGATTATTAAAGAAGATGCTTCAGTCACCTTCTTTCTACTTCGAGGGGCGACAGTGGAGGAGGAGGTGGGAGTTTGTCCGGTAAACTGTGACTGCAATGTGTGAATGAATGAAAATGCTTTGCTAGATATAGTGCTACACAGGTACAGGCCATTTACCACTCCACCTGTTTAATGTATAGGGTTGTAGCAAACCGCAAACAGAAACTTTTATTGGTTTTCTTTCAATAGTTTTCTATTTATGACCAATAACACATATCTCTTCTGAGTCTTTTTCCTGCCTGAACTTGGGATTGCAGCTCCTCTAGAGGTACCATGGCCCTCTTGGCTGTTTCTCTGATTAATACTGTCCTTGCACATCCTGTCAGTTTGGTTGAACCGCCACCTGTTGGTGACTTTTTGAAGTCCCCATGCTCCTCATTTTGAGATGATGGATGAAACAGACTCTATCAAGAGTTCTTTGTTGAACAGCAAAGGAGAACTCTATTTTGATTACTTCACTGGTTAATTGGTTGCACTGGATTTTATTTATTATTATCAGATTAAAGGTGGGTCAGTATGTCCTTTAGATCTTTATTTTTAAAAGCACTTAAGCAACATGAACCCTTTTCCCTCACTGAAGATGGTGCTGGCAAAAAGTTTATGGAGCGGTAACACTTTTTGCATCTTTGTGCTGAGGCATCTTGTTGTTTATGAATCAAAAAGCAATAAAGTATGAGGATAATCGCTACATATTGGAGCACAAATATGATGAAAGGATGACAGCAAGTAGTCTAAAAGCTGAACTGACAAACTATAAAACGCTAATTAAGCTGATGAAACATTTGTCAGTGAGCTACACAGTCTGCCATTAATCAAACGGCTCAGATAAAACATCTGTAATCTTCTGTCATTGTCTTTGAAGCACACTCAGCAGTAATGGTGCAGACTGTGTAACTTGTAACGTGAAGCGAATTCTAGTGTGTCACATCAATCTTGGTGAGGCAGAAACAACAAAACCGTCCCATAAAACAAAGGTTATTACAATCACAGCTCCAGCAGAGGCTCTATTTGACTCCTGCTTCTGTCACACAGAGAGGAAGCTGCGTATTTTCAAACAGAAAGCCGTTTTCACCGTGGTGTCAAACGCTGCAGCTGAGTAAAAGCCCGTAGTGTCTCTGACGCAAGCGACAGACGCTCAAAGAGAGCGGGCGAGAAGGTTGGTGGAGGTGAGTTGGTTTGGGTTGGCGCATGATTAGTGCTTTTCCATTCAATCGATGCACATACTGCGTCACTAAGCTGCATCAGTAGGAACATTTATATCATAGCAGAATCAGTCTGTGTCAGTTTGTCAATGCCAGGTTTAAATACGGAGGCATGTGACAGGAAGCTTTCCAAGCAGCTGTGTTGACTTTGCTATCATATACCAGATGTTTTTTTTTTTTCCAAGGCAACTCATGAAAAAGACTCAAAAAATATATTTTCAATCTGTATTCAGATAAGAGACCTTGGCAGATCATTAAGAGATAAATATTTTAAAGGAGTAAAAGTAGAACATGTTCATACTTGCAAAGTAGATATAAATTGGATATTTGATAGCATTATGATAATGGGTATTAGTGTTCTTAGTTTCAAATTTAAGAAATTGATCCTCCTGCTCTGATAAAGCTGAACATCATGTTCCACTGCTGTGGAGGTAAAATAAAGTCCAGCCTGACTAATGCACAGGAAAGACACAATCAGGAGCGCCAAAGAGAGGCTTACGTCTGCAGATCTGAAACCAAAGAGCCAAACTAAAGAGTTCGAATCCCTTCAGCCTCTCACATTTTGTTACCTTCGAATCAAAAATCGAATTGCAGTATATTCAGAGTTTGTGTGAGAAAGCACATGGTTTTCAAAACCTTTAACAAATACAAATCTGCAGAGTAGGATTTTATTCAGCCTTTGGTATAATCCAGTATACCAAAAGCTGGTATACTGGATTATACCAAAGGGCAAAAGTCATGCTTTAGACGGTCCTGAATCACATAAGTAGCTCAAAGATTTATTTCCAAGCAAGGTAACATGAAGGAAGAAATACAGGCATTTCAATCAGCTATTCTTGGTAAAAGGAAACATCTAAAACTTACAGGGCTCTGGCCCCTTGAGGACTGGAGCTGGACATACCTGCTATAAAACTAACTGGTTTCAGAAGACACTTCACTAGAAAGAGACTGTTAGCAAATTGGTGCCAGTTTGT